ATGAATACCAGAAAGAAAAGGTTTACCTCAAATAGCAGACTTTCTGTGACGTTTAGAGAAGTTTATGTTGTAACTCTATGTGCTAAAATGTTACTGATTGCATTTACCTATGTTAGGAATTTAATTTTATAAATAACAGTAGAGGTTCCTTCAAATATTGCGATTTAAAGTTTGTTACACAGTTGATTTAAAGATCCTTAACTTTTGTGGGAATTCCCTGTTTGCTTGATTTTGCTTAGTGGTGTTTTTTGAGAATTTTATAATATCCCTTGAAATGATGGAAGACTCACTGGAGTCTCCATAAAACTGAATTTTTATGTTACTGGTTTATTTACATGGGAGGGATCAGAATGAAAATACTTTGGGTTTTTCCTCAAATGTGCTTTTAATATAGTATCAGCTATTTTACATGAATCTCATGGTAGTTTATACTGAAATATTAGAGACAAAGCATAGTTGAATGAAATCCACAGAAAATTCGGATGAAAATGTTTTAGATGAAGGTTTCAGCTGAAATAGGGACGTTGGTGGTTATCTGTTCTTTCCCTGTGCAAGCTGTAATGCTGGGGTGAACTTCTTCCTTTCGGCCTGTAGGTGGCAATATCATACCAGAAATGCTTGTGACAATTGGCCACGAGAAAGCATCCGGCCTTCGGACAAATAAGTTCTAGTGGTGTAGAGTAGTGCTAGGCGTCTATAGTTAACACTAATTTATTGTATGTTCTCAAATGGCTAGAAGAGAGGAGCTCAAATCCTCTCATCACGAAGAAATGATACATTTTTGTGATGATGAATATGCTAATCATCCTGATTTGGTCATCTCACGTTGTATACATGTATTGAAATATAAGTCTGTACTCCATAAATCTGTACAATCAATACGTGTCAATTGAAAAAAAAAATAAAATGTATGATTGCATGCAGGTGCCTTGTTAAAAATGCAGTAATGTATTGACTGAATTTGGATATATAATCAGAGTCCAACCTTGTTGTGGCCTCATATTTGCATATATTTGAATAGCTGCCCCAGTCTTTTGTTATCCCCTGGGTGAGGTCTTTTGGGATTTCCCCTGTCTCTCCCCTGCTGGCTTGCAAAAGCAGCTCCTGTTTCTTCCTGGGAATAACCTCTCCCTTAACAAAAATACCCACTTCTCTCCCTGCTTCGGCATAGCACTGATCCTTTTCACAAGGGAGAGGGTTAAAAGAGCGAGTGGGGAGAGGAGCAGAGTTGGCGCTAAGACAGATCTGGACCTCCCTTCTGTTTCTATGGTGGCGACTGCCACAAACACCACTGTGTACTTTTCCTCTTGTTAGTTTTATTCACTCTCTGTTTACCATTGTTGCCAGCAATGAAGACTTTAAGAAAACCCCAAAGAATTGTGTGCTTACTTGCTTTGGGGACAAAGGTCATAGGAAAAATTCAGAGCCTAGGTGCTGTTCTATTTTTGTCTTTGAGGAAACCAGGGAAGGGGGCGAGTGAGACTGATCACAAGCAGAAAGTGGTGGGTACAAAAAAGAAGCAGACAGCCTAATCTCTGGAACTGGGTGCATGAAAAAGGAAAAAAGGGGTCCACCCAACCCAGCGTGAACAGCACCCCTGGGATTTTTCACTTGCCAGAGGCCCGGACCTTCAAGCTCCTCTTGCCACACCTCCCCTTTCCAGGCCACAGCGATTCCCAGTGAAAGGCTGGTGGGGGAGGCAGCGAGGTGGGGAGGAGGAATCTCTGATCCTCTGCTAGGTAGAGTCATGATCATTCAAATTAGAAATCTATACAAAGATTCCACCAAAGCACTCTTATATGACATGGTTAAGCTCTGTAGTGTTATCATAGCTTATAATAGTTTTTTTCCAGCTTTCCAGCCCAACCTGTAATGTACCAGAGCCCCATCCACCATGCTTTCTATGAGATAAATGTATTTTGGGTTTCAAACAGCATTTATACATTGAGAACTGCTTCTATTGTATCATATCACATATAGAAAACATCTTAAGCTTGAAAAGCAAGTCTCAACCCACTGCCATTTCAAATAGGCTGTATAAAATTGAAAACTTCAGTTTTTAAAGACAGATTGTTTTGGGGTGCAATGATGTATTATATTTGTGTATAACAATATTAATATACATATTAAGTTTATTTGGCTAAGTAAAATGTGTCTTTTAGATTCTATTTATCATGATAGGCGGTGGCTTTATAGACAGTTTTGTTCTGTTGCACTAGTAAAAATTATTTTTCTTCTCACTCGTGTTTTAATCTAAGATGGTAATCTCATGTTATGTTGAAAAAATTTAAAAGTTGTTTTATAAAATTTAGCAAGCCTAGAAGTTAAAAGACTGCATGGAAAGTAATTACAAAGTACACATTAGCATTTGCTTTTAACTGCTGTAACTCTTGCATCAATCAGAGTAGAACATTGAGGATGCGTGCAGTCATTTAGTCATGGAAAGAAAAAATAAGACTTGTTTACCAAATTGAAAAGAAATTAGAAAGTGATTTTCTCCAAATTACATTTCTACTTAAATGCACTCTCCAAATCTGAGTTATTTTCCTAATTATATTTCATATGTAATGAATTTGCAAACTTCTTTATGCACTTTGTGTTCTTGGATGGAAATTAAACATCAACTGAATTTCCATTAGGTTGGAAATCTCAGGTACTGGTAGTTTTTAAAGATATGATTTTAGCAAGGTGTTTGTCTTGGAATAATAATAATAATAAAGCATCTACTGACTACTTTAAAGTTTACAAAATACTTTCCCGTAGAGAGGCAGTGTGGTGTCCTGGAAAGACTTGCAGCTTTGACTTTAGACCTGGGTATGAACCCCACCTTAGCTACTTACTAGCTTTTACTCAACCTTCATGAGTCCAGGTTTCTCATCTGTAAAGTGTGGAGAATGAATGCCTGTAAAGATCTTAGCATGAAATAGCAGTCTTAAAAACCCCAATATATAATCTTCACAGTTTTATCAGGAAGGAGATTCTGTCTCTTTCTTACAGACGTGTCTGTTGAGGCTCAGGCAACTCATCCAGTGTCTTTCAAATCTGTTTTATGACTCCAAGTCCAGGGCACTTTTCTCCCCTCGACTGTTTCTTTCTTTTTTTTTTTCCTTTTTGTCTTTTTTCGTGACCGGCAACGGATCGCAACCCTCAGTGTCGCACCCGTACCGGACTGGGACCGGCAACGGGATCGCAACCCTCGGTGATGCACCCGCGCCTCGCTCAGCCAGTGAGCGGCCGGTCTGTATGTGGGATCCGAACCCTCGGCGGGAGCACTGCCACACTTCCCAAGCGGCGCACTGTAGCAGTGCGCCACCGGGCCGGCCCTCCCTTCGACTGTTTCTGAAACAAGACTGCAATAACTGAAAAAATGGTCAGCAGTGATTGTTAGATGTGACCACTCAGGTGTGATCTAGCGTCTGTTAAGGCAGCCATTAATAGCCCTTTTGTCCTCTGACGTCTGTGTCATGCTGTGTGACTCAAGGCTGCTGGTGCATTAGCTGAAACTCCATCCTTTTTTCCACTGCTCACAAAAACCCAAGAAGGGAAATTGTCTATTAGTAATAGGGGTAACCTGCAATCCACTGCCTTCCCAACCCCCCTAGTACTTTATGACTGAAAGCAAGTTTCTTTGAACACACTTCCCAACCTATTGTGACACACCACAGTTGGGAAGCACTGCATAAGGTGTGTTCTAGGGGAATAAATAGGTCACTTTGCAGTAGGGGGTTTCTGCTGAGGAGTGATGAGAAAGGTTGGTGGGGCCAGTAGGAGATTAAACAGTTAAGACGTGGTCTTATAGGCTCTCAGATATTCTTGAGTAAGAAAGCAATGGGGCCAAAGTGGTGGTCTGCAGGGCGGTTTGAAGGTGAAAAAGCATGGAAGCCAGGAGATCATTTGGTCTATTTTTCTTTTCTGTTCTTTTTTTGTGTGTGTGTGATGGTAGGCCAGTAAAGGGATTGAATCCCAGACCTTGGTGTTATCGGCACCACATTCTAACCAACTGAGCTAACCAGCCAACCCCATTTGATCTGTTGAAGTGAGCCAGATGGGCTGAGATGAAGACCTGAATTAAAGCAGTGGCAGTGAGACTGGAAAGGAATAGACAGACCTGAGAAGACTTGGGACTGAATATGAAAGGGAAAGGAGTCAGGTGATAAAGCAAAAGTTTCAAAGCATGTGGTCAGCTAGGCAGTAGGTTTCCTTCTCTAATAACATTTTGCCACAATGTATATTAAATGATCTTGCAGCCCCAGGACCCAACGTCCCTATTGGTGGAAAAGAGATGATCTGGAAGGGTGCTGAAGGGCTGGCAAAGCACCAGTTAGAATTGGACATTTACAGGACATAGTTCAGAAAATATTAATACAGTTTTTCACCAAGTTGCCGCCTTATAGAAGTGTTTGGGTAGCCCACGGCCCTGGTTTCAGATCCTAGGCTAAGTAACTCTGCGGTTAGTCATTATAAACATGCTGCTATCTGAATGTAGGACTTGATTCTAGAACATTACAAACAGGTGATAGGGAGCGCTTGGTGAGTTGCTACCCTTGGCATCTGACCAGCCAATAACTAGAATGTCTGAAGTGCTTAAGAAAATCTATTTTTCAAACCTTAGTTTGAGATTATCTGATAGACTGTGTGCCCCATGTCCACGGGTGCAGGCTCTTCAAGTATAGGTGTTTTTGTTTTGTGCACTGCTGAATCCTCCTCAGAGGACAGAGCCTGTCACTTAGCAGATGCTCATCAATAACTGTTGAATGAGTAAGTGACACTAGGGAACACAAATGTCTGGGTCACCACTGGAGCCCCAGTGCTGATTGCATAGGAGGAGCTGAATAACGGCTGATTAAATTGAGTTGAAATGAACCGAACAGCATTTGGACTAGTGAAACAATTTTTTATGTGATTTTACAGCATGCGAAATAGAGTAAAATAATGTTAGGTTGCTAATTCTTTATATGGGATATACAGCAGTAACAAAACTATACTTGTTCTTTTGCTAGTGATGATCTAGAACAATTTATGGAAAATCAAGGTGCATCCAGCCCAGGTATCCTCATTTTAACAACAAGCCTCAGCAAACCATTCATGCGACTGGAAAAGTATGTCACTCTCTTGCAAGAGTTGGAACGGCATATGGAGGTAAGGGAAGGCGAGCGTTTTCAAGCTGGTGAACCAGGTATGGGCCTCTGCTCTGGAGGACGCAGCCAGTCAGCCTCCAAAGTCGTCTTGCTGAGGAATCTAGAAAGTGTCATGGTTTCAAAATTTACTTTATCTAATCTTTCCTTCTCCCAGGCTTCTGGTTTTCATCTTTATGTAGCAAAACATGATCCCCCCGTTCTTTCTTACAAAATATTCATGATCATTCTCCCTCCCCCGTCTTCTCTCCCAGGCCTCGGTCCTGCTACTTCCCTCGAGTCTGTGCTTAGGTTTTCTTTTGCTTTCTCATCTGTAGATAGCGGTTCAGTCAAAATCAGACCAAGAAATCTTCTGCTGTTCTGGTATATTAACCAACTTTATTGTGAGGGATAAAGCAAACCAACATCAGAAAATACAAAGAACACATTCACTATAGACAGGAATATTTATCTCTAGAATACTGTGATCATTCAGCTTTCTGTCTCTGGATTACAATGGAAGATTCTGATATTTCTTAAAAGTTAATGAATGGATTCAATATTAGTGTAACTCTCTATGCATCAATACATTTGCATCAAATTCCCCTCACATTTTTGCTTATAAACTTACAGTTTACTGGTATTGTGGCATAGCTATAATCTTTTTTAAATATTAAAATTTGCAGTGAGACCTGATAATTGAATTTTTTTTATCGAGAGCCCAAATCCTTGTTATTAAAAACCAATCAGGAGGGATAGCTCCTTGAGCCATTCTTTGGCAATTGTGCATGGGGGTGGGAGATGAGGGCCCCCTGGGGGAGGCTGCATTTACCTCAGTCGCTCTTCCTGTGTCTGGGGAAAGGTTTTGAGGTTTTAAAGGGTTTGATTATCTTTAAAGTAAAAGGTTGCACGCTGCGGGCTTGTCAGTGTTTATAAGGATTGAAAGCATGTACTCTGAGTGAAAGCATATTCTCAGAGTAGTTGACCTACCAGAAAGCTGGAGGCAGTGGGGAGCTGGTGAGTAAAGGCTGCCAGAACGAGATTTCAGTTAGGGCTTGGGAAGGTGCTGACCTCTGGTTGCCTTTCCATAAGCCAAACCAGTTTGCCAGAACCGTTTGAGGTTTGCCCCTCCTTGCTTATCACAAAAATCCAGAAACTAGTAGCCTGTTTCTGCTACTTCTCAGTGCTGAAGTACAAATATGCACTTAATTTGGGGAGAAAAGAACCCCAGCTGCTCCTACTGTCAGGATCCTCTGTCTCGGCCTCCTTTACAGTGGTGCCTATTGAGACTCCATTTGCTGTTCACATGTATTTGGTTGCCCTCTGTTTCCCACCAGCAGATGATACACACCCTTGGTCCTAGTTCACCACTGGGTGAGACAATTGATCCAGATTTCTGATCATTTGCCATGGCTGCTGGCTAACAGTAGTATAGTACCTGAAATTCTCAGTTGTCAGCTAATTTGGGTAAGAATAAATTATACTATAAAGAAATACAACCTTACTTTTCATGAGCAATACCATTCTTGGCTTGGGTCAGACCTGTAGTCTGTTCAGCTTTGTATATTATCACCCAAGACTGGTTGAACAGGAAATTTGGTCTTCTTATTACTTCAGCTGAGTTCCAGTGGTTAGGTGTATATATATATCTCCAAGGTCAGGTATACCTGTGTACTCCATATGCCCCAATGTCAGGTACAGATCTAGCCCCAAGAATCTCTACCTTCCCTTCATAAACAGTTATGGAGATGCAAATTCCTCAAAGACATTTTTGAACCTGCCCACTTCTCAGAGTGGCAAGTATCACGGAATTGCAGACCATATGTAAAAGCCCTGCTTAAGAAGGAGCACATGGTATGAAACTTGGAAATTTTCCCCATCTGCCATGTTGAAACTGCTGAAAGAAAACGGAGGCATTTTAGGAAATGAGATTAGATTGATTTTTTTCTTACCACCACTCTGTGTCCATAATTCCCCACCTCCTGTCATCTAATGATGACATGATGTAATGATGTCCCCCAAATAATTATTTAATTATCACATTTATTATTAAATATTGATTATGTAAAGTAAAACAGCAAAAAGGTAAATAAGAACTCTTGCCTCAATAACCACACCTGCTATGTTGTTACTGAATGTATAATATGTTACCATTGTCTTCATTTTTTTAAAAAAAATTTAAAGCAAATTTAACATTTACTTGTACATATTTGTGGGGTACAGTGTCCAATTGTCTTAACTTCTCAATCACTTAATCATTGGATGTGCTGAGATTCCAAATGCTCGAATGCTGTTCTATTTTTTAATCTTTAAATTAACATACAGTAAAATTGACTTCTCTCTTATGGTGCACGGTTCTGTGAATTTTAACACAGTTATAGGTTCATGTTACCACAATCGAGACAGAACAGTTCCCTATCCCTCCAAATTCTCTCTTGCTATCCTTTTACGGCCACACCCTCCTGCCCCTAGCCCCTGGCAACCACTGATCCATTCTCTTCTAATATTGTTTTCAAATGTATTCCTTTGATAGGATACTCATCCAGATCATCAGGATATTCTGAAAGCAATCATAGCATTCAAAGCTCTCATGGTAGGTGGTGCTCTAAAATTATAATTCTCCATTTTGTATGCCTTTGTTCCTGAAAGAGTGATTTGTATGTAATGTTTCTTTCCTTATGCAAAGGTCTTTAGAATGGAAACAATAAGCTTTCGTGACAGTATCGCAGTGATTGTTTTATTTAATTTTGTCCTCCAAAAATCATGCTTACCTATGAAAGGTTGCCAGGCTGAAGGTATAAAGCAATCACATTTGAAGTCTCGGCCACATTAAGCATCAGTGTGTAGGTGGGGGGTTTCCTTTCGTCTCTTTGTCTTTACCCCCATTGCTCACCTTATGTCTCTGTAACTCGTCATCACTGATTAGCATCAATGCTGGATTCGACTACGTATGACAAAAGGTATGAGGTTGTTCTTTGCATATGAAAAAGAAATCCTTCATCAAATCTGAAAGGAAACCAAACTACTCAAATACAATTGTGTTATATAGATTGCTATCAATGGTACTGGAATCTTGTATTTTGAGCATGGTGGTTAATGTGTCTTCTTGAAGCCACTGATGTAAAACCACCTGGTGCCATTTTAGAAGGAAAGAAAACTTTACGTTGGGTTCAATATACTTTAGCTTGATTTTAGACATTTCTGTAGCATTCTAAGGGATCTGGATCAATGTTTAGTTATTGACCCTTGCTGTAAGGCTGTGATGCAACATTCACCATCACCTCATTTTTATTGCTTTTGAAAGATAAGTAACTCACATGTTCATGGTTAAACAGCCAGTCAAAGACCAGAGTAAGGTATTAGGTTTAAATTGCTGTTGTTATAGGTCAAAAACAAATAGTGGCAGTTTTACATGGCTCTACCTAATAGAACAGTCCAGTAAAATCCATGGTATTTATATAATTTGTGTCTTTTATTTTTTCCTATGTAAATGGAATATAAATGCCTCTCAGAAAAATAAAAAAAAAATATTTCGGGGCTGGCCGGTTAGCTCAGTTGGTTAGAACACAGAGCTATAACACCAAGGTCCAGGGTTCGGATCCCCATGCTGGCCAGCCGTCAAACAAAACAAAACAAAACCATACTTCTTTCTGAACATGTTGTAAAATGTGCTTTGATGGTTGCAGTATATTTATTCCTGCTATAGGTACTTCAAAAATATGTGTGCAGTGAATTTATTTCTTCAAGTCTCCATTTAACTGAAAGGGACAGCACAGACTTTGTAGAAAACAGATCCCATCAAAACTATTACATTACATTTATTTGGAAACAGTAACATAACTAACCGTATGCTTATTTTTGTATTTGATTTGGAATGAATGCTATTAAATTATTCTAAGATAACCTCAAATTTTCTGAAGCAATGATTGCTGCTTTGGCAAAATGAAAAGTAGCTCCTCTTCACAAAACTTTTGGGGGCTAAAGGCTAAAGATTTAAGGTAATGGCTCTTTCTGTCTGTCAAGAATGGATGTGGTCATGGGATCCATGGTGAGGAATAGGGACTCAGTGGAAATATCTAAGAGTCAAAAGCCACATCTTTGATCTTATTTTAGATCTGTTTCCTAAGAATTCTTATTCCATTATGTTCTGCTTTGGTTCTGTAGGGGCAGTGCCAAGATCTGAGAAAGAGAAAGCAGCTGGAGTTGCAGATACTTTCTGAACCTATTCAGGCATGGGAAGGGGAGGATATTAAAACCTTGGGAAATGTGATTTTTATGTCACAAGTCATGCTGCAGTATGGAACATGTGAGGTAAGGCGTTTCAAATCTCAATACCATTTCTTCCATCTTTCATCCTTTTCTTCCTTGACTTGTTCTTCCATCAAGGTCAAGTGCTTGAACATTCAAATCAGAAAGTGAACACCTGTTCTTTGCCCAGCACAATGCTAGGTGCTGTGGGAGATAGGAGGGAAAAATAAGCGATGATCTCTGCTTTCAAAAAACTCATTAAAAACAGATTAAAACACAAGTTGCAAGTAGAAAACAAAACCAAATAGTCAAAGTCAGATTGTGCAATGTCAACAATAGAGTTCATAAGAAGTAGATGACTAGATGACTCTGGAGAAAACTACGTTAAGTGAAATAAGCCAGACGAGGAAAGAGTAATACTGCATGTTTTCACGGGGTGAGGGGGGGGAGAGGGAGGGGGGGGGAGAGAGAGAGAGAGAGAGAGAGAGAGAGAGAGA